TAGGTAGTTAGAACAGGAAACAGGAGGGCAAAATGGCAGTGGCTAAAAGAAAAGAAAGGGAAAAGCCCATGAAAACAGAACAAAGGAAGGTCAGAGGGAGGCCTGAGGACCTGAATGAGGACCTCAGGTAGAACAAACAGCACTCCTAGCTAGCCCAACTTACATAGGGCAGGCCCAGGAGGAGGAAAAACGCATATAAAAAGAGGAGCCAAATCCGCGCCCTCTCTCTCTCTCTCTCTCTCTCTCCTGCACGCTGTGTGCTCCCCCACTCTCTTCTCTTCGCCTCTTTGGGTTGGCATGCCCTCACTCCTCAAGGATGGATTCTCTTGCTATTTTCTAAATAAAATAGAACTGTGACACTGATTTGTCTAAGAGCTATAACACGGTCTGTCCAAGACCCGAGAGCTGTGACGCGCTGAGGGCTTTAATATCTGTCACTCCAAATCTTTGTTGTGACGAGACAGAACTGAGGAGTATACACTCGCCTGACAGAAAGAAACTCTGAGGACTTGCACAAAATAAAAGACTTTTACAGCCATAAGGGATCAGAGCCAAGCAAGGTGTACTGGGCAAAGAATCCAAGTGGTCACTGCGAGGTCACTTTCCATTAGGGGCTGGCAGGGGTATCTCAGGCAGATACTTAACTAGTGATAATCAGAAGATTCCTGGCTGACTGGTTCAAGATTTCATTTCTGGAGGAGCCGAAACTGCATTTACATCTAATTTGCTAGTATGGTTCTTAACTAAGCAACTCCTTTGGGGGCTGTTGTCTTGTTTTTAAGTCCTCTGGGGGCAGGAACAAGGCTTACCATTGCTAGTTCCTTGCGCTAAGCACAGTGACTGGTGTATTCATTCCCGAATGCTGAGAGCACATGTGCTCTGTGCCAGGCCCGTGCTGGGGGCAGGGATCCAACCATGACACCTCACAGTCCTTGACATTCAAGAGAATAAGACAGAAAAGCACCACACTTTAAAAAGAAACGATCCTGCTGCTCCCACAGAGCTGATGCTGTGGAGGGAGAAAAGGAATAAACAGAACAGCTTGTAGAAGAGTCAGCTCCATGGAGTGAAGGGCAGGACACAGGACAGTGGGATGGGAGGGTGGTGGGGTGGGGGGGGGCGGCGAGGAGAGGAGTCTGCAGGCCGGGACCGAGGGCCGCTCCTCCAGGTGACGGGCCACAGCAGGTGCTGACAGGGCCTGCCCTGGTGCCGTGAAGGACCAAGGTGGTAAGGGCAGGAGACATGGGGGAGCTGTCACTGCACATGCAACGTGTCTCTGAGGAGGTGACATTTAAGCTTTGGTTCAGGCCACGGTCCCCCTTCCCTTGTCACCAGAGTCAGACACCGAGGATGGCAGCTAGCACCACAGGCACTAGTCAGTCCTGACATGCGCACCAGCTCACTGTTGCCTCCTGAGGAGTCACAGTAAAGGCCCCTGTACTGAATTCCCATCCCTCCCTCTCCGGAGAAGTCGGGTCCTTTCCTGTGTAGCCCAATGGCATGGCCTATCCCTCCTCTTGGGAGCTGTAAGCCATTAAATCTCTTTTCAATGACAGTTGTCTCCTGATCTGTTTGCCTTATTATGTCACAAATTTCCTACTAATACACTCTATTTTAAAATGTTAACCATAACCCTATATACAAAACAGAAAAAGAGACTCAGATGTATAGAACAGACTTGAGGACTCTGTGGGAGAAGGCGAGGGTGGGATATTTCAAGAGAACAGCATCGAAACATGTATATTATCTAGGGTGAAACAGATCACCAGCCCAGGTTGGATGCATGAGACAAGCACTCGGGCCTGGCGCACTGGGAAGACCCAGAGGGATCGGGTGGAGAGGGAGTGGGAGGGGGGACCAGGATGGGGAATACATGTAAATCCATGGCTAATTCATTTCAATGTATGACAAAAACCACTGCAATGTTGTAAAGTAATTAGCCTCCAACTAATAAAAATAAATGGAAAAAAAAAACTCTGTTGCTATAAGAAAAAAAAAATAATAAAATAGCCAAGAGTCACAGCAGACTGTTGACAATTACATGTGGACAAGTGGAGAATGAAGGAGTATGACTTGCTGCAATGTCCTCGGTCAGTTTACTATTTGATTGAGTGTTAAGTGTGTTTTGTGTTTTCCTGACTGGTTAGGATCCTCTGAATCAGCTGTGCTTTCATCCACCAGCTGATTGTGCTCACAAAGTTACTTGCAAGCACAACTGAAATTCAGAATATGTTCAAATTGTTCCCTATATGGCAGGCATCTTAGCGCAAAACTTATTGCAGCACTGATAAGGCGTTCATGTCTTTCCCCAAGTTGGCTAAGAACGAGCATAGTAGTAGGGATGTAATGTTAGTCCCTCTGCTGTGTTCAGCTCTTTGGGACCCCTCCTTTGAGAGAAGCCTGGCAGGCTACAGACCCTGGGGTCCCAAAGAGTTGGACATAACTCTTTGAGAGACTATATATTCTTTCAGATTCTTTCCCATTATAGATCATTGCAAGATATTGAGTATAGTTCCCTGCACTATATAGTAGGTCTTTGTTGTCCACCTAGTTTATACACAGTACTATGTGCATATTTATCCCAAACTCCTAATTTACCTTTCCTCACATCCCCTGTGAGCCTCTTTGGTAACCATAAGCTTGTTTTCTATGTCTGTGACTCTACTTCTGTCTTGTAGATAAGTTCATCTGTATCATTTTTCAATATTCCACATATGTGATATCATATGATGTTTGTCTTTTTCTATCTGACTTACTTCGCTTAATATGAAATCACCATGTTTATCCAGGTTGCTCTGAACAGCATTATTTCATTCACTTTTATGGCTGAGTAGTTTTCCATTGTACGTATATTCCACATCTTCTGGAGCAAGCACTTCTTAGAATATACAACTTGACTTACTTTCAAAGAACAAAAATTGTGAGTAAACCTAAGTTTTTTAGAGATGGAGAATTTCTCTGCAAATGTTCATATATCATTTATTAGTATTTAATAGGTTAGGATTTTGAGGGCAAGAATAGTAGGTGAAATTGGTGTGTGCTTTTGTTTTAGGTCACTTATGTCAAGTTGTGACAGCACGGTTAAATTATATTCACAAAATATAGATTTCTTCTGTTCTTCTATTCTTGATTCTCTAAAACTATGTGGTACTTTTGTAGCCAGTTGTTATTTGCTTGCATAGCTTTTACATGATTTTCAGAAGTAATTCTCAAAAATTTTTATTTGAAAGCCTTCCTTGCTTATTTTTCTTTTGCTTTAGTTGCTTTAAATAATGGTCCTGACAATTCATATTTTTACAAAAAGTAGTCAATTTCTTGAATATTCTAAAATATTTGAAGTGTATATAAAGGGGTTTACATTCATTTTTTATGGGTGGGTATGAGATAATATGAAATATACATCAGACCTGCTGTCTGACACAGGACCCCTAACTGTCTTAAAGTTTCCTGGGTGATAGAAATGCTTTTGTTTTGTTTTATTTATATGTTTTCTGAAAGTGTTAATTTATTTTTTTCCTGGTAGGCAATTGTTACTTGCATAACAAACACTTTTCAGGATTATTGCTAAGGTTTGTTAGTACAAGTCTATGTGCCCTTTATTTTAAGGCTGTGATCAGTTTCATATCTCTTTCTCTCTCTCTGTCTTTCTTTCTTTCTTTTTTTTTTTTTAGTTTCAGCTCTAATATATGCATTTTTTTGCCTTGGTTGAATGCCCAACATATTCAAGGAGGTTTCTTCACTCTGGCTGGTAAGGATTCTCAGTCCCACATGAATGTTGGACATTATTCAATGCATTAGAAATTTATACATTTTCCTGCAGTGGAATAACATAGGCTAAGGTTATGCATTACATTGTTTTTGTGATGTCAAGATGTAATTGAATATTAGTGTTTATTCCAATGTGGACCAGTAAAGTGTGTTATAGTACCTCATCCATTCAGTGGACTGATTTGCAGAAAATAGTGTCCCAAGAGAGAGTTTTCCCCAAGATATTTTCAGCTGAATATAAACAAGATATAATAAAAACATTGTGCACAGTATACTATCATTTATGGTTTTAAATGTGGTTGTGTGCTAAGTCATTCAGTCATGTCTGACACTTTGTGACTCTGTGGACTGTAGGCCACCAGGCTCCTCTGCCCCATGGGGATTCTCCAGGCAAGAATACTAGAGTAGAAAGCCATTTCCTTCACCAGAGGATCTTCCAGACCCAGGGATTGAACCCGAGTCTCTTCTGTCTCCTGCATTGGCAGGTGGGTTCTTTACCACTAGCACCACCATGTAGAATGAAGAAGAAACAGATATTCATAGTTGCTTGTGTCTGCATAAATGACATTCTGGGACATCTCTCCTGGTCCAGTGGCTAAGACTCTGCAATCTCATTGTAGGGGCTTGAGTTCAATCCCTTGTCAGGAAACTAGGCCCCACATGCCACAGCTAAGAGTTCCCATGGAAAAGGTCCTCCAGGCCACAACTAAGACCTGGCACAGCCAAATAAATAATTTTTAAAAAATTCAAAACTCTGGAAAGATTCCTGGGAAATGAAACACCATGGCTGACCGTTAAAGCAGCAGAGTTTTTACAAGAAGGGAGGGGGTAGGAGGAAAAACATAAAATAAAATGTTATATTTTCAGGTTCTTGAACCTTGTACATGTATTATAAATTTCTCATAAATGTCAAAACATTATAAAAAAAGTTAAACCTCTAAAGGGTAAAGCTCATAGTGTTATTTCTACCAACTGAATGAAAGTCAAGTTTGTTTTATCAGAAAGATTATTTGGATTCTCTAAAACATCTTCTCAGGCTTTTTCCACACTACCCAGACAGTGGTCTATTTGGCACTGTTTGGATTCTTGTCATAACTTTTTTTTTTTTTTTTTAGATTCTTGTCATAACTTGAAGTGAATCTTTTACAGTATTCTGGGTCCTTGATGTCCGGCAAATGAAGGGGGACATCATCACGTTCCTGGCAGCAGGAGCCCACTTAGGTGGCACCAACCTTTACTTCCCAGTGGAGCAGTACATCTACAGAAGGAAAAGTGAGGGCGTCTACATTAGGAATCCGAAGAGAACCTGGGAGAAACTTCTGTCGACAGCTCATGCCATTGTTGCCATTGAAAACCCAGCTTCTGTCACCGTTGCGTCCTCCAGGAACCCTCGCCAGCGAGCTGTGCTGCAGTTTGCTGCCGCCGCTCCTGTGGTCGCCCGCTTCACTCCTGGAGCCTCCACTAAGCAGACCCAGGCAGCTTCCAGGAGCCGAGACTCCTGTGAACTTCTTACCATCGGTCTGTGTGGCACAGACTCTCCTCTGCATTCTGCAGACGACCCATTCCCGGCACAAAGGGAGCTCAGTTCGTGGGTCTGATGGCAGATGCTCACCCGGGCACTTCTGCCCGTGCGCGGCACCGTTTCCTGTGAACACTCTTGGGAGGTCGTGTCTGATCGCCACGTCTGCACATTCTGAAGAGATGAAAAGGGAAAGGCAGGTGGCAGTGAGCAGGCTCTGACCAAGGAGGACGTCACAGTGAATGGGTGACGTCAGCACCTGAGTGCAACGCTGCTCCATCTGAGGTGGTGGCCTAGTCCACAGGCGGGCAGGCGAGCTTGCTGCCCACTCCGCGGTGCCCCCGAGGACTGGGCTGCAGCGCCCACTGCTCAGGCCACGGGGTGGGGAGGGACAACACGGAATGGGCTTCGGCTGTTCTTGCACAGGCTCTTTTCTTGGGTGGGGCTGTGCTGGGTCCTTGCTGCTGCACGGGCTTTGCTCTGGCTGCGGTGAGCGGGGCGCACTCTCTGGTTGCGGTGCACGGCCTTCTCCTCACAGCGGCTTCTCCTGTCATGGGCTGCAGTAGTGGCAGAGCGTGGGCTCAGCAGCTGTGGACCCCAGGCTGTGGAGCACAGGCTCAATGATGGTGGTGCAAGGGCTTAGCTCCTCTGATGCACGTGGGATCTTCCTGGACCAGGGATTGAACTCATGCCCCTGCATTGGCAACCTTCTTTACCATGAGCCATCATGGAAACCCCACAAACTCTTAAAATGGAAGTAGGTTGACAGAAAATAAACAGTTATAAATAAATAAATATGTCTACTCATGAGAATGTTCTGTGACTTTTGATTTTTTCCTTTCACATAAGAGGAAAATTTCCTAATCCATAATTCATTATGTTCTTCCCTCAAACAACATTTACCACTGCTAATTTTATTAGCTAAGCTCGATCTAATTTATAAAATACTTTTCTCCCACTTTCCCCTATGCACTGTACATTCATTATGAACTGAGATGATGTTTTATCATTGCTCAGTCACTCAGTCATGTCCAACTCTTCCTGACCCCATGGACTGCAACACACCAGGCTTCCCTGTACTTCACCATCGCCCAGAGACTATATTTATAAACTTCATATGGATAGGATAATCATTTGACTTCATACTTGAATTATTTCTCTGAATCTGATGTGTTAATATGCTAGTAAGATATAAAACACTTGACTGACTTCAGCACAATAAAAAATATTAGAATCAGGTGACCATATCTTAAGCCTGATTATAAAACCAGCACCCATGATGATGAGGAACAGTGACACATGGGGGGACATTTTATGTGCTGAGAGAGAGGTGTGCAGTTCTCGGGGATTTAAAGGTCTGTTTGACAACAGAGTAAAACTAGGCTCAGTGGTTGGACCTCATGGGAGTCACCTCCCCAGGACACATTGGACGGAGTCCTGAGCATCTTGAGTGCCCCGCAAGGTGGTCTGAAGCGGTGGCCAGGGCACCCCTCTGTGTATCAGTGGAGATGGTAGTTGTATTGTGTGTCTGTACAAGTCTGTATAAGGTGATCTGGCATGCAGAAAATTAAATTTGACTAAATGGCAGATGACCTCAGCTCTAATAATATCTTTTCTTGAATCAATTTGTTTCTCCTCTCAGCTTCTCCAGCCCAAAGGAGTTACTCTTCATGAGACCCATTCTCTTTTAATTCCATTCTTCAAAGCCTCAAATTTTGTAGCTTTTTTTCAGTATCTGTCCATGTTTATTCCTCAGAAAAGATAAGCAAGAGTAAAATTTTCTCATTGGGCTTTAAAGATAAACAAATACCTTTAAAATTAGACTTTCTAAAAGTTCTAAACTCATTCATGTTCTCACATTAGTATGTTCAATGCTAAGTCTGTAATGAGCATTTTTACCTGATTCAAACACAACTCTGGAGAGTGAATTGCTGGTGGGACTTCACAGACCACTGAAATTTTCGACTCTTGACAGTTAAATCTCCTTTTACAGAAATGATAGCAGCCAATAGAACAAGGAGCATATAGTGCCAGATTACAGGGCTGACAGCAAGGAAAAGACAGTTTATTGATGACAGAAAAGATCTGCCTTCTGACAAGCAGTCGCCTCTCACGGTGAGGCAACCGGAAGTGCCTGCAGAAGCAGAGACCGCGCGCGCAGAGAGCAGGACGCTTCACCCATGTCCGTTATCAGCACAGCCGGAAATGGGTCGTTCCTGGACCTGACTCGTGCTTCCTGTCTCTTTAGCTCCCTCGTGCTTCCGGGCCGCTCATCTGAGTTGGACTACGCTTTGCTTTTCCTAGATCTCCTTGGGGCCTTCTCACAACTCCCGGCAGCAGGCAGGAAGCAGCTGTCCCCTGGGCAGGGCTGCGCCTGTAACTCGTCTGGCAGCCATGCGCCTGGGACAGCATTCTGAGCGTCCACTGTGCCTCTCAGGGGTATGGCTTTGATGGGACCAGAGGTCGGAATGAGCACGATGGAAGGGCTGCCTTTGTTTTCTTTCACTCCTGGGCCAGGAGCTCTTAACCTGAGAGATTTGGAGAGCCCAGGGAGCCTGTGTCCGCCCTGAAGTGATGCATAAAATGCGTCGGTGCACAAGCTTTTGTTCAGATAAGATTAAATGCCCTGGATTCACCCCTTCAGAATATTTTATCATTGTTCCTAGTCTGTCCAGATCCTGTGCATTGGAGCAGAACACTGCTGCAGTGATTTCATCACACTTCCCTTGTTACCAGGCCCTAGTAAACCCACCTTTCAGAATCAAGAGAATCTGGTGGCTGACAAGGCTTAAAACATCCTATGAAGTGCCTAGAAGCAACAGCATTTGATTGTACTCGACTGGAACATTTTAAGGTCTAGTAGTTTGCTTTTCACTTGTGAGCAGCTGGGTCAAATTGTTCCAAACAAGAAAAAACAAGCTCTATAAAGTCTATGTGTCTGACCAGGGTTACAGGACACAAACTAGTTTAGGACAGGGCCTAGGTTGACCTGAGATTCTGTCTTCACCAGAAATTAAAGTACTAAAGAGCATTTGAGACTCAAACACCAAAAGCATTTTATTACTGGATAATTTGGGTTGGGAAGATTCCCCAGACACCCAGGTCCAGCCCCGGCAGGACCAGGAATACCCAAGGGATGAGTGGCATCAGCGAGGAAGAAGACAGACACACACAGAAGGTTGAGTAGAAGAGGTAGCTTTTTTTTATTTTTAGGTGAGCTCAGTTTGTATAGAATGAACGTTACCTGCCCCTTAAGTCACCACGTATTACATCCAATACCGTTTCGTGCATCTGTCAATATTTTTCTTTCCCATGTTTTTCCCCAATGCATTTATCTAGAACATTCCCGACTACAGGGTTTATTTTTAAATGTCCCGCACATAGTCTTCTTGCCACAATGGCCTAACATTTTCACTCTAACAAAAACAATGTCCTACAAATCTCAGGTACAGTATAAATTCTTTGGACAATAAAAAAATACATGGGAAGGGTCACAGTAACATGTTTGACATTTCTGAGAATAGTATCATGAGAAAAACCTGATATTTTTCCTTACCCCAAACCACAAAATCTCAGTTTACAATGATTAACTATTAAACAGCAAAAACACCTCTATTAATAGTGAGATAATGGCAGTGAAGCTGGTTAATATAAAGCTTCTATTGAAATGTATGTACCCCATTTCCTAACTCTGCAAAAATACCCATAATCTCATGCTGTTTAAAGAAAGGGAAACAATGAACAAATAGCAGCAAGGAAAGAACAATAATGAAAACCCTCTCAACCAAGGAGCAAGTAAACTGATGCAGTACATCTACTTCTAAATCTAAATGCCTTTACTCTTTTCGTTTATAGAACATTATAATCTTTTCAGCAAGCAGCCAAACTATACCTGTGACCTTTTCTTTGCTGACTTGATGTTTATGGTCGTGTCCTGAGCCAGAGCAATCATGAGCATTTCCAAAAAAGGCTTGGACTTTTCCAGGGAGGCCTTATTACTATATATTATATTTCCAAAATTTATTAGAAAGCCCAATAACAGTAAGACAGAAGGAAGAAAGGGACATACCGTGCACCCGGGAGAACCTCGAGGGGAAGAGCTGCTTGCAGATTCCTTTCTCATCCCGGCGGCTCCTGAGGGGACATATTGGGCCCCCGGGGCAGCCCCGTGTGGGAAAGAGCTGCCTTACAGGTTCCTCTCTCATCCCGTGACTTTGTCACGGTTTGGGCACACCCCTAGCTCCTGACACCTAGAGGAGCGAATGGCAACTCACTCCAGCATTCCTGCCTGGAGAATTCCAGGGGCAGAGGAGCCTGGCGGGATTACAGTCCAAGGGGTCACAAAGAGTCGGACATGACTGAGTGACTTTCACTTTCTTCTTGCAGTTTGGATCTACAGAAAGGTAAAGTCTTTTCCGGGGTTATCTGTAACTGCTTCCTACAGATTCAGTTAAATGGCTTTGTGTTCTGACACTGCTCCCAAGACACTGATCTGGGCTTCCTACACTTACGAACGGAATTACTTTGTTTTCTGTGCAGTGGTGGTAAAACAGTTAGAAAGCAAGCAAACAAGCCAAAGCCGGTGAATGTTTTTTAGACAGGCGGAAAGTGCCCCCCGCTGTCCGCTCCGTAGAAATGCCCAAGGAATGTAGTCTGAGCCTTATGGACTGAGAGCCAGAGGAGCTAGGATTCTAAGGTCAGTTAGACTCCCATCGAACTACACTTTCTACTTATATGCTATTTATAACAAGATATGTCATTATATTTATGCTCTCTCCTGAGCATTCTCAATGTTTGCTTACAGAAAGTAAGATGTTGAAAATCACTGAACTGCGGCAGTTGTAAGACACAGTATCAGGCTATCATATGATTTCCACAGGTCCAGATTATCCAACACCAAAATGCCTTTAGAATTCTGGAGCAAAAATGCTCTTTGCCACTTTAACTGCTAGTAAGGACTGAGGCCCACAGCTCCCTGAGTAGCAGCTTCTGCTGGGGACTCCACTGTATTTATTTTGCATGTGTTTAAGAGATGACAGAAAAAGAGGAAGCTCTAAAATGGCAAAAGCTTTAAGGTACACCAAAACGGTGGTTTTAAATGTTGGTTTGAGTGTTTTGTTTTTAATGAAATAATCCATTGTAGGACAGGCCAAAATAAGTTTTGAGAATAAAGTGTACATATTCTTCCCCTCAGAGATATTGGCAGCCAAATTAGTTAAGACATGTTTTTACTATGGGCCTGGCATAAATTCTGACTTGCCTTGGACAGGTTACTGATTTCCAGGCTGACTTAAACCCAGCAAGTGTTCAAGGAATGTTCTAGTGACAGGAGGAGACAGCAATGTGCAGCCTGCATTTCATTGAT